GGTCTCGGTAGTAGTAGTAGTAGTAGTCTCACATGGAGTGGAAGTGGTCGTAGGGGTGGTTGTAGTAGTAGTAGTAGTCTCGCATGGAGTGGAGGTAGTCGTAGGGGTAGTTGTAGGTGTAGTTGTAGGTGTAGTCGTAGGAGGAGCGGAAGTCGTCGAAGAAGTAGTGGTCGGGCCAGTGCCCACATCCTTGTAAGCGTCGATACCCGTCTGGATGGCCGAGGTGATCCCCGACGACAGCTGAGTAGCGACGTCCTTGAGAGCCGCCGGTACCTTGCCGGACAGGGTCGTAGCTAAGTTCGAGGAGGCCGTGTACTGGGCCAGCAACTGGTTATAGGTGGTAGGACCCCCGCCGGCAGCGACGATCAGACTCTTCTTGGAGACGAGGTCGTTGATGGTGGTCTTGACCTTGCTGGTCAGAGCCAAGATTGGATTCACCAGATTCAGAGCGTCAGTTTGGCTCAGAGCTGGCTGGGCCGCAACGGTGGAAGTGCCATCGTTGATGGTGGAGATGAGGGCTGCAGAAGCGCCCACAATGGCGGACGTATCGCCTCCAGTGTAGGCCTTGATGTCTGCATCCAGAGCATCGACCTTGGACGAAATGGCAGCGACAACACTGGTGACCGCAGCAAAGTCACGCTCCACCAGCGAGGGTGCCCGGGAGACCTTGGTGGGCGTCGCGAGGACGCCGGTGAAGGCTCCCAAGGCGAGGAGGGAGGTTAACGCAGAGAACCGCATTGAAGCAACCAAATAGTATCAGACGATAAACGACTGTGATAGGTGTAAACAAAGATCAAGCGAGGGACGACCGGTTACTACTGTAACGAGCGACAGACTTACAGCAGGTGAGGAAATATCAACCCAGATAGATACCTCGAGGTACCATCCCAGGACTATTTAATCTCGTTCTGGAGGCTGGAGGTCAAGTCACATGTGTCATCACCTCGCATCCGTGGGATTGCCTCGCTTTGACTTCGATAATGAGACTCATTTCCGTTCGATCCGGGGTATGCCAGTTCGTTCATAGACATTGGTGAAGACCCCGGACCAGCGACGAAGGAAAATGCTCTTTCGAGGTTAGTGCACGCCTTGTCTCATGGAAGTGGCTGGCCAAATTATCGAACATGAGCTAAGGCACTACGACCTGGGACCGTTCTTTAGATCAACCCAGTGGCAAGACCGTTGACGATTGTCTGATTGGGTGCAATATATTGCTAGAAAAAGGAGGTTGGTGCTGGCAACGGGATGGTAACTGGACAGGTGTCTGTCAGTACAACTGCATCCAATAAGCAACGGACAGAATCAAAGATAGGATGCAAGAGTTTCTCTCAGGCTTTTCCTTTCGTCGATCTCATATGTCATATTGAGTAATACATGATGCCATTGCCAGTAAAACAAGAAAGTCTCCCGCGGGAGGGTGAGACACGCAGACTGATAGACCGTCATCCTGGTCTGAGCCCAACACTAACGAAGCGTACACAGACGAGAGAAGACACTCGAATTCCAACAGCTTCTCCACTGTTTAGGCGTCCACTGACGTTGTAAAGTTTGTGTTGTCCCCATGTTCCTGATAGGGCCTGACTCAGAATCTTTCCTAGAAACAGGTTATGTTGCGAAAAAGGTAATTAGATTAGTCTTTTTTCGCTTAGTTTCTTAACTCCCTTCCCCTCCCAAATTGACCCATCACCGTTGCTGTAGGAAACTGATAGCATGTCTAGCGGTCTAGCGTAGAACTAGCGACTTGGCTTCCCAATAGCGATGTAACCTGGCCATGATTTAGTGTTGGTGATGTTGATGGCAATGCGGGGTTGTAAGACATGTCTCCCCGGAGAAGTCAGCCGGATCACCGTTCAGATTCGAGTCATGGAGGATTTGACTTTAGAAGACCCTGCAGGTAGATTCTTGCCTCGTATTCTTTTCTGCTTTTGTGTGGACGTATCGTTGGTGGATGAATTGAATGATGAGATGGTTGGGAAGAGTGCAGTTAAGAGAAATTAAGCAGGTCAAAGATGCAACCTGCCGAGGTCTCCGCTGTGCTTCTAACTAGCGACCTAAGGCATTAATATGAAGATGCATGCATTTAATGTCACATCACATTCTTAGTAACAAATTAACAACGAGTCCAGTCCTTATTAGGATCATCAATTTCCAATCTATTATTGTCTTAGACTTGCCTTCTGATCCTCCGGAAATCTATACTAGACGAAAGCCACGCCCAAAGACCTCACGGGCCCTACTCTGATGCTATAAATAATCACAGTCACTAACAAACTTTGAATCTCACTATCATCACACTCAACGTCCTCCTGAAGTAAGTTGTAAGACAAATGAAAGCTGGTGTGACTCGGATTGCCGTCAGCCTTGTAGCAAAGTTTAGAGAGAGTCCTGCTTGATAATATCCGCCGCCTTCTCAGCCACCGCAAACACCGTGGCCTGGATATTCCCCCGGGGCTCAAGTGGAAACAAGCTGGCATCCACCACCCGCACATTCGCCGTCCCATATACTTTAAGCTTCGGGTCCACTACTCCACCGTCATCGCGTGGCATCATTGCACATGACCCACTGGTATGCCACTCGGACAGTACGAGTTCCTTACACAGTTCCATGGCCCTCTCCACGTTAGTAAGTCGCTCGGGTGTGTGCAACCGTGCTCCCTTCTTCTTAAGTAGAGAGGCTATTGGCTCGGTTTCGGCCAATGTCTCGGTCCAAATACTGTGACGTGCGTGGAGCTCGAGGTCTGCGGGGTGACGCAGAATGCCATAGTTGATGGCAGGCGCTGCTTTGGGGTCTGCGGACTGGAGGTGCACCGAACCGCGAGACAATGGATAGCTCAGTGCGCAGCCAACGGTGATGAAGCATCCTGGATGACTCATTGAGAGGAGGGCCTTGGGACTGTTGCCCTCGCGGGGCAGGACCTGGAACGGGACCAGGATGTACTGCGCTGTGGGCTCATCGGGATCCTCCAGCAGCCTTCGAAGAATCGGGTACTGCTTCTGCTGCGCGCGCGGCAAATTACCAGAGGCGATCGACGCATCGATTGTCGCGAGCAACTCGTGACGTTCTGCTGTGGAGAGGTTCATACAAGGCATAAATGCTGACACCAATGGGACCATGCCCAACGGTCCGGAGCCGTCTTTCTTATACGCTTCCATGGCAGCCGCAGCCACTGCTGGGTCTCTTAACATGTCGCCCGAGGGCATCCCATCTGCTACCTCGTACCCGAAATCTACCAATCCATGATCTTGAAGGTTCTCCCCAACATTTGGATTATCAATGATTGGAGTGATGCCATGCGAGTGGAGGAGGTCTGTGCTACCAATGCCAGAGAGCTCCAGGATCTGTGGAGTCTGCGTTGCTCCCGCGGCGAGGATAACCTCCCTGGTCACAGGGACCGTGTAGGTTTGCTCCCCCTTGCAGAACTGCACCCCGGTGGCGACAACAGAAGCCTCGCGGACTTCCAGAACAATCCTCTCCACCATTGCGCCCGTCACCACTCGTAGGTTCGGGCGACGCTGTATATCTGCGCCGAAATAAGCTGACCCTGCATGGCTGCGCGTATGGGTGACCGGATCCACCGCACCAGGGACGACAAACGGTCCTGTTCCTGCGCCTCGAATGGGATCTTCTACCTGCGGATACCCCAGGTTCCTAAAAGTCTCAAACCAAGCTCCGTGGAACGGCATGTATTGGTCTCCGAAAGACACCCGAACTGGCCCATTACTGCCCTGATCTTCCTGATCGTATTTCATCCCCGTGAAAAACTCACGAATTGCGTCGGACGGAGGAGTGGCCTGATGGAATTTGCGGAGGTACGGTTCAATACCGTCCCATCCCCAGCCCGGATTTCCGAGCGTCTCCCATGCATTCATCCCCGACCGCGATGGGTAGACGACCAATCCGAGGTTGATCGCGGAGGATCCTCCCAGGGTACGGCCTTTGTTTGCGAGCAGTTGACGACCATTGAGTTGTTCCTGTCGAAAGGCGTGTCAGATAGTGGGAGCGTCAGCGTTGCTGCTTGGGCGTACCTGATGGATAGATCGAAAGTCGCAGTCGAAATCCGGATCTTCGTACACTGTAGGCGCCAGTCCTGGCACCAAGATGCGCGGGTCAGTCAAGCGGTTTGTTCCTGCTTCCAGTACAAGCACGCGGGTGTTCGGATCTTCCGTCAATCTGTTGGCGACGACTAAGCCGGACGTGCCACCTCCCACAATGATAAAATCAAAGACGGCAGCGTCTAGCCCCGCAGCCGAGTTGGTGTCGACAGTCATTTTTGATTACAATTTACGGAGATCCGGTCAGTAGCAAGAGCAATCTGTAGGTATTTCAAACCTAACCGTCAGCATTTCAGTTCAACTATTTATGTGATAAAAGCCATATGAAGGAGGGGTGCCTCTGTCTGCTTATTGTCTGACGCGGGGCAATGCTAAACTGCATGTGTTGCGTCTCTATGTTGATCTTACTGTGCTTACGTTGGTCCGGGTCAGTGTTTGAGTGAGGGGCCTGATCGACAGGTCCGACACCAGTAGTGGTTGAGATTGCGTAGAGAAGCAAAGGCACCGCAGTAGATAACGCTTTAAGGTTGCGGCCGACGTGAATCGATTGCTGTTAAGATATTGTTTAGAGTGTAGACCCCTGCTAATGAGCGGTCACGCCATGCGCACCTGCATGTATGAAGCATCACATTAAGTCCTCAATCCCGTGGACAGCTTCGCTCCCTTCAGAAGTTGTCCAACTGTTCCGTATGCTCTGCGATATCGTATCTATCTGTTTTGGTGGGTCATTGAGATATACAGACTGCTGATTGTCATACTCACTGTTGTCGGCGTGGAAGCGTATCAGTAACACAATGCGCTGCGGATTCAATCTGCATGATGATAGGAACTGTAACTTCCAGGCTTCCTGTCATGTACGTCTGATACTGGAGATCGAGCTCTAGTGATGTGGTATTACGTCGGCCTTCAGAAAAAAGTCGTGGTCGACGTCGCAATCTCCGTTCGCAATGTTGGTTCGTCTTGTGCCATGAACTCTACAGACGTCTCCTAGCACAAGAGAAAGCTGTATCGCTGCAGATGCAGCATGAATAGCATGCGTCTGATGTCTCAGCCTGACACGTATGAAGCATGAGGTTAGCAAGTGCATGTTTTCAAGGAGGGGAAGCAGAAGCGTCAGATAGAGCAGACAAACTGGATAAGACGAGGACAGAGACAGAGTCCAGATGAGGATAAGAACCGCCGGATTTCGTGGATTCGAGAAAAGCACAGTTCGCTTTAAAGGGCTATATTTCGAGAGCGAAAGTGCTGCAGCAGGCGAGAGCTGCCTCTCTGATTAGTTCTCAAACCACAAAACATCCAGTACCACAAACGCAAAGAAACCAAACGGTACACAGAGCAGAAAAAAAAAGCCTTGCGATAGAGAAATACCTAGCCATTCGAATAATAAAACGGATCAGAGAGGAAGCCGTACAGGCCCCTCTCTGATCCGCCCAAGCCCCAGCCGCTCCCTCTTCGGCAAATTTATACCAGAGGAGCGACCACGACCTGTCTCGAACCAGGACCCAGCAGTGCAGTTGGGTTGGGGGTTACACACTGCACTACTGGGCCCTGGTTTGTGAAGATACGGCATAACAGGGGCTCATCTGTTGCCCATGCGTTCGCTTAATTGGGAAATGAATAGCGCTCTGTAGAGCGAGAACAACAAGGATCAGTCCGAGTTGTAGGAAATGACAATATACCTTAGTCTAGCGCTAAATAGGCATTACTGGAAGTCATTCCCTCTAAAATGGCTCTTACAGTACATATTAAAGCTACATCACAGCAATGAGTATGCTCCTCAGACTATCCCCGCTACCTATGTACATAACCCAGGGAAAATGCGGATCAGTATCTCCCTCTTGAGACGCATCATTCGCACTTGGGCTGCGCATATATACTATAACTTGAGGCCTTTTAAATTCACCTTTTATAGTGGAGTATTTGTTGTGGGTTGTAAAAGTCTAATGGCAAACAATACCCTGAGGGCGTATGGCTTCCCTATATCTACATAGATCATCCCAGACATCTACAGCAGTCTACTACTGCACGACTGTTAAAGTTCAACGTCGACTGCCTGAAGTAGGGGTAGGCCTTCAGTAAACGTCTTGGCTTTATCTACGCTGCAAAATTATGCATCCTTTGACACTGATTCTCTCCCTACTTTCCGGTCCACACTTCATCTCACAACCACGCAGCATCCATGACGGGACTAGGGTCGGTTAGCATTATGTCTTACCTGGAAACTTATATAATATAACTTGACCGGATAATGGTAGTCTCCATCATCACCTTTTCGTCTCTCGGAGTTGGCCATGCTTGCTGAACGTACACTACTGCTATCGAGTCATGAGCCTAGGCAACTGGAACGAAAACTTGATGATTATCTGGCTCCTGTGGATGACTGGTTATTAATATGGGGTGTGCTCATTGTCAATGTGAACGACAAGTGGCGAAGCACCTCAGAAACGCCGTACTTCAGAAGTTTTGCAATGAACAGCGGCTGAGAAACAGGACCGTGTCGGAATGGCCCTAATTATCCTGAGGATATGAATCTGCTCCTCTTCCAGGCCAGTCTAACGAATGTCCTGTACTAATACTTCAGAGATTATCACTAACTTCCGAGGCTGTCCCTTGGTCGTCCTTGAACAATACGAATTTTCGGGGTGTTGTCAGGACGATCTGTTCGATCGGATGGCTTGGGCAATTGTACGGGGTCAAATCGGTTCCCCGGGTCAGCTGTTTTGCAATCATTTTGGGACTGGTTGCCGATCACCAAGTTAGCTAACAATCCATCCCTGGGAGGTAAGCATGTCGCCGTGTCATAGGGACTCCTGTCGGTATATGTATAAGACTGCTGACTTCGACCACAAATGACAGCCTTGTCGACCTTTCCATGAGACCTTATCCAATCTCGCTCGTCACCCTCTCAAATGCGTCATTTCCGTTCAAGAGGTAATCCTATTTCAACTCCTTCCTTGCAACCGAGACCTGGCCTTGGGGTCCGTCGACTGCTAATACGGCCCCGAGTCAATGTAGTGGAACTACTGTCACTCCCTACTGCTGCGGCATGATAGGCCACTCATACACGTGTTATCGATGCTGGTTTTAGGACAAGGATCACATGCGCGATTTTGGATTACTGGAAGTACGCGGCGTTGCTGTTACGTGAGGGTACAAGTCGATGTATAAGGTATTGAGTTCCATGGATAGGTACGATCGATACCTGTTACCATATTACACGATCAGAAGGAAAATACTGAAACCCATAACTTGGTAACCCCCTATCCTGGTACCTTTATCTTCGTCTCAAGACCGTCTCCGACGTCGGCTGTGTTCATAGGATTGAGTTTGACGACTCTCTGGGCATCCAACGGGACGTACACCTTATTTCCGCTTTGTGCCTTGGCAATAACTCTGAATTTGACCAAGTTGGCCAGTCAAGTCTATTGTATATTGACAATTCTACGGAGACTGATACGCTGCCAAATCCGACCACAGCGTGCGAGGGCCTCGATCGAGCAACATCAGACACGCATTAACACAGCCTCATTGCTTGGCACTTCACAGTACTTGATAGGATGAGTTCAGAGTACGGAGGCTACCTAATATTCAGCACTTCAGATTGACTTTAGCCGCTGATGACCCGTATTATGCTTGTCTACTACTCCGTACTCGCCTACCCCTCTCGAGGCGCCAAGGCATAAGACGAGCCGCCACTGCAGATTGTTCTCTGACTTTGCTAGCCAGCACCCAAGACGCCTAACTCAAGCCATTATTCTTATTAATATCTAGCTAGACTCTTATCATGCCCAGGGCCCCAGGCGCCTGGTCGTCTTCTCCCTCAGATTGTTCTTATCTTCTCCGCATCTCAATTTGATGCTATACGATGACGCATTTCCATCGTTGTTCAGTCATAGCACTGATTGTTTCTGGACTGCCATGTAAGCCTGCTTACTCTTAACAAGACCTATAAATCTGACATGACAAGTTGTTGCTGCGACAACCTGTGATCGGAGCACTGATCCCAACATCCGGAACTCATCTGCAGCATTCCAGCTCGCCTCGTCCGATGACCTGAACTGGTTCTCCACGCATAACTGCACCACAATTGACGATGATATTACTCTACTGCAAAGCTTCAACGGATCATTCTCTCTCCCCAATGTCACCAGTATTAGCGGAGTCATCAGCTATATGGCCCCTACTGAGACATTTGAACTCACGTCGATCTTGCTGCCAGACGTGCTGTACCTGGGAGGCATTAACGTTTATCTTCCAAGTAGTCAAGAGATAATAGATGTATCCGCCCCCAAAGCGACTGCCGTCGGCTCGATTAATCTGGCCGTACCGTTCACCGGCGCAGTGGACTTTCGGTCGTTGAAACAAGCGACGAATATCTCGCTGGCGGGGAATTACTCGAGGTACGTTCCTGTAGGGTCTTGACAGCAGACACCGGAGTAACCAGCTTAGTGTGAGATTTGACGCTTTGGAGCAAGTGAATGGCAATCTCAGCATGCATGGGTCTTATACAGTTGCCGCGAATTATCTCGATAATGAAGCCCATGGTCAACTCCCGCTTAGTTTTCCTGCCCTGCAATCTGCGATTTTTATCCAGTTCTCGGGAGTGATTACAGAGTGCGTCCTCAGCATGTGTAATTACATATCTCTTCTCCGAACTGACGGTGGCTAGATTCTCGATGCCTGTCCTCGAAACGGCCAACATCCAAACTAGGAACTATTTTGGCCCATCGGGACTCTCGATTCATAACTACGGCGCGCCTTTAGACCTGAATCTACCAAAGCTACGCTCAGTGGGCGATATGCTAGATTTCCAGGGTGCAGTGTCCAGGTATAACCATCATAAGCACAGCTTGTGCGATACCTGCATGCTAACGAGATAGCCTTTCTCTGGACTCCCTACAATCAACCCAGGGCAACATCACAGTCGAGTCATCATCCCGTCTAGACGTCAATTTCACAAGCTTAAATTCCGCGGAGACCATCCAGCTGAACGGAAACATCACAAGGTACGATCTATCATACACCATCTGGCCTAAAACTCACTCGCTGTAGCGCCGGGTTTCCCTCTCTCACCCAGGTCACTCGTGTTACAATCAACAGCACCAACACCATTGACTGCAGTTCCTTCCAGAGCGCCCTCAAGAATGCAGCCCCGACTTCCAACTCCACCTGCAACGGGACAGGAGTGACAAGCACAAGCGGGCGAGGGTTAACCACTCGCGCGAAGGTGGGGATAGCAGTGGGAGTGAGTATCGCCGGCATTGTGATTGTGGGGTTAATCATCTGGTATGAGCAGAGGACGGCGAGGAATTATAAAGAGCGAGCGGGGTTCCACTGGGGGCCGCAGATTCCTCTGCAGGAGAGGACGAGGAGGAGAAGTGCGCCGGTGGATGATCCGCCGCCACCGTATTCGTTGCATCCGCCTGCTGACTGATACAATGGTTGTAATTAGGTTTTATATAGAAGAGGTTTTATCGGAAGATCAGATCACTGGGTCGCCAGTTCTTCCAGAGACAGCCCAGTCTGGCTCAGGAAAGCCGCGTATGTAGCTGGGCCAGTGTATGGTTGGTCGAAAGTTGACAGAGAGCCTCCGAATCGAGTCTGAAAACCTGAGCGGTTATTGAATATTGCAAGGGAGACAGAGTCCGAAAGGTAAGAGGGCAGGTTCTGAACAACGGACCGTTGTAGTACCTTCCTGGTTGGTGACAATTCTTTGAGCGGCCAGCTAGATGATGGAGCGCTTCACCCACCTGCTGCGTCCAAGGAATGTTGTGAGCCAACATGCGATTACTGTCAAGGCAAACATCAGAACAAAAGTGATACATACCTACAGAGTGTGAGTATGGAAGGTAGAATGAGTGGTTACCAGCATCGGAGACTGTAGTGGCACAGCTTCCAGTGGCGCAGCTCATCTAACGATGATAGAAGAATGCCTGCTCGTAGCAAGAKGCTGGAGACATACTGCTCGTGACTTTTTTTCCAACACAAGGCATTGCTTGGGAAGACAGTTCGTTGGCTGTGAATGTCTCAAAATAATGCTTTGTGCTCACAGTTGCCGCAGTACAAGGCGCCCTCACCCTAAAGACATCGGATCTGTTGTGCTCTGCGTTTATAAAACGAGATGAGCTCGTCACCTTTCACTTTCTTCTCGCCTCTACCTTGCTTTTCGTTTTCTTCTTTTATCTATCACTCTGCGCTCATAGCTTTACGTTTTCATCTTGACGACCTGACTTTCCAATCTAACACATCAAATCCTAACCACCTGGAACATCTTCATTCTTCCCCGACCCAGTCAGCTCTTCTCCCTCAGTTATCGACGAGTTGTAGTGGAGGCTTTTACCTAGCGAGACATGTCGACCGTAAACATGGCAAGACCCAAGTACGTCGCTCGGACCAGTCCAATACTGGGAACACAATACTAACGGCCTTCAGGATTTGCAGGGACTTTGCCAAAAGGGGAACTTGTTCCTTCAAAAACTGCAAGTTTCAACACGTAAATGACCCCGGAAGGCGAGACGACGATCGACCAAAACGAGACGCGAGACCCAAACGGCCGGAGCTGTCAGATTCAGAGAAACGATTTCGATCCTGGAAGGATACCTTAACCACACACTCCCCTGCGTCTCGACCAGGTCGCGCGAAGTTGGAGAACTTCTTCCGGGATGCTCAACAGTTTGTCGAAGTCGATGCTGGTCTTATGCAAGGTGTGATACGCGAACTAGCTGGGGAGGCAGGATTGGAACATATCCGAGATCTTGTGGAGGAGAAATTCCCGAAGGCTGAGTCGAAGGCAAAGGAAGAAATCTTCCGGTCACAGGTCCTTCCTCTGCTGCTAACCGTCTCGCACCCTAAGGTCTTATCCTCGCTGATCTTGGAACAAGCAGTGGGAACTATTTTCAACGTGCTTTTTGGTATCAATGGTCGCAGGGCAGCGCTATTCCTGAGCTCAATATGCGATGTGCTATCAAAAACCAGCAACGAGGAGACAGCCGTGGACTGGCTGGAAGTTTCACTGCTCGTCTTTGCAAAAATCGTCGATCTCAACTCCACCGCATTCGTTCAGGATGCACTCAAAGACCAAGCAAACAGGTTTCAGCAGCTCTTTCTCCAGATGACCGAGAGTGGCCTGGCAAGCTCTCTCCACCACTCGCGCAATCTTCTCGATCAACTTCTGCGCCGATTGGAAATTGGCAGCTTGCTACCATCTGCACCTGCGAACGATAAGCTCAAATGTGAACCGAAGTCTACTGCAACATTTACCGTACATCGCGAACCCCCGGGTGGCAGACATGATAACGATCATGCCGATATTGTGAAGATCGCGATCATGCCGACCCTAGATGAGATCCAGAGTTCGCGTATCGAATACCTACCCGTCAATGATCCTGGCCAGTGGCATGTCGGTGGTCTGGACGGTTTGTTGGACCGGAATTTCCGTCTACTAAGGGAAGACACAATTGGTCAGCTGCGCGATGCTATTCATCAGGAGCTCAAGGGGTCAAAGGGATCAGGCGGACGAATTTCCCAGGTCCGGACACACGTCTATCCTCATGCAAAGATCGGACAGATCTACTTTGACAAATTCCATGGCTTCCAATTCAAAGTCCAATTTCCTCAACCGCCACGCGTCAATGAGATGTCGGCCAAGGATCGGGAAAGCTGGTGGCAGTTGTCGAAGCGTTTGCAATCCGGTGCTCTTGTGTGTCTCATCATGAATGGACGCAATGGAAGGACTGTCGCCTTCTGTACCATCGTGGATGACCAAGTAAAGTCCTCCAAAAAGCAAACAGACGATGCGAATAAAGCAAGTGAAACTGCGGCATCCCTGTGGGCTGACCCAAAGGAAGCATCAGTCAAGATGACGCTGGTCGATACGAAACCCGGCATGATCCGTACAATCTTGTACAAGGTCCTGAATAAATGCGATTTTTCTGTTGTCGAATTTCCAGGTATTCTACTGGCTGGCTTCGAACCAACCTTGCGAGCTCTGAAGAAGATTAAGGAGAACAGGGAGCTACCATTCCTAGAGATTCTGGTCCCGAACGGCGATGTTGGCCAAGTCGATATTCCTCCTCCCCTTTATGCGCTGAGACCCGGATTTCGCTTTAATCTTCGTTGCTTGATGAATAACAAGACCGATTTATTCATTCAAGCCAATAAACCAGTTGATACAGAATGCTTGCAACGCAACTCAGCCCTCGACAGGGCCCAAGCGACGGCCTTGGTCAATAGCCTCCAGCACCGAATTGGCTTGATTCAAGGGCCTCCTGGTACGGGTAAGAGTTACACAGGTGTTGCACTTATCCGAGTTCTTCTAGCAAATAAGAAGCAAGGAAAGACAAATCTTGGCCCTGTGTTATGTGTTACTTATACGAACCATGCTCTGGATCAGTTGTTGGAAGCTCTCATTGACAAAGGAGTGACTTCTCAGATAATCCGGATCGGTTCGCAGTCCAAGTCTGACCAGCTGAGGTTTCTCAATCTGCGACACATCGCGAAGGATGCCGAGAAGACCAAGAGGGAGCGACAAGACCAATATCGCCTCCATTGCGAGATAGAGGAGTGCGAGGAAGAGTTCTCCGCCCTGAAAATCAACCAGGACTTGTTAGCCACTCATCTCATCCCTCACCTGCACAAAGTATATCCACGCTATTATTCTGGTCTGTTCGGTAAAGACGAAGACGGTTGGGAGACGGTTCAGCACGGCAAGCCTAGTGATGTGATCAGGCGTTGGGTCCAGGCTGGGGGACCAGGAGATGAGATACGACCTTTTGACGTGCTCATGTCACTAAATCCATCCCAATTGTCCCAAAAAGAAAGAGATGCTCTGTACCAGATATGGACGAAAGAAGTTATTAAGCTGGTGCATGATAAAGTCATGCAGCTCTGCTCGGCACACCATAGGGCCAAAGCCAATTTCGACAACGTTCGGGACGAAGTGGATCTTCGCTGTCTGGCAGATGCTGATGTTATTGGAGTCACCACAACCGGTCTCGCTAGGAATTTAAACATGCTGCGAAAGCTACAATCCAAAGTGGTGTTGTGTGAAGAAGCCGGCGAGGTCCTGGAAGCACACCTTGTCACAGCTCTGTTGCCCTCGGTCGAACACGCCATCCTTATTGGTGATCACCTACAACTCCGTCCGCAGGTTCAAAATTACGAGCTCTCACGCGAGAATCCTAGAGGTGGCGAGAAGTACTCTCTGGACGTTTCATTGTTTGAGCGACTGGTGGAACAGCAGAGTGCCATGGGTTTAGGTCTTCCGTTCAGCACACTGGAAACGCAGCGTAGGATGCATCCCTCCATCGCCCAACTTATTCGGGATACTCTATATCCTCAAATAGAAGATGCAGAATCCGTGTCAAACTATCCAGAAGTTGTGGGTATGCGCCAAAGACTGTTCTGGCTGGACCATCGCGAGCCGGAGGCGGATGCAGCCAATACAAGTGTGCTGGCGACCTCGCACTGGAACGAGTACGAGATTCAGATGACAATGGCTGTGGTCAACCATCTCGTGCGACAGGGCAAATACCAAAGCGGCGAGATTGCTGTTATTACTCCATACCTGGGTCAACTCCATCGACTGCGTCAGCTGTTCTCGCAACACTTCACCGTCACACTTGGAGAACGCGATGCCGACCAGCTCGAGAGTGCTGGCTTTGAAGCTTGTGAGGCTGTTGCCAAGACGGCCGCGAGAGCTACCCTACTGAAAACTTTGAGAATCGCGACCATCGACAATTTTCAAGGTGAAGAGGCCAAAATCGTCGTGATTTCGCTGGTCCGGAGTAACTCTCAGAATCGCTGTGGGTTCTTGCGTACGTCAAACAGAATCAACGTCCTCCTATCACGAGCTCAGCATGGAATGTACATCATTGGCAATTCTGAGACTTGTGCTCACGTCCCCATGTGGGCGCAGGTCATTGACATCCTTCGGCAGTCGGGCAATATAGGATCACAGCTGGAGTTGCAGTGTCCCCGTCACCCTGATACACCACTCCATGTCTCTGAGCCTGACCATTTTTTACAGCTATCCCCAGAAGGAGGTTGTAGTCTGCGCTGCATCAATCGTCTTCCCTGCGGCCATGCTTGTGAGCAAAAGTGCCATTCGCAACTGCTTCACAATGCCGTGTATTGCCCACAGCCGTGCCCTCGTCCGCGCAAAGGGTGTACCCATCCGTGCGCCAAGCGGTGCGGTGATCCTTGCCCCGTCAGGTGTATGGTGAGTGTGTACAAGGAGGATCGAAAGCTCGAATGTGGCCATTCCATGCCGACTTTGCCCTGCTGGCAAGATCAGGACTTGTCCACCGTCCGTTGCAAGGTGTCTGTCACCAAGACAGTCGAACGTTGCAAGCATGAGATCACGGTGGAATGCCATGAAGATGTGAAATTGGCTACTTTCACGTGCACCGCGCAGTGTAATGCTCTCTTGGCTTG